GTGGGGGAGAATATTCCCTAGTGCCAAAACAGTAGCACTGCAATTGCTTTTTGCTTGTCAGTGCTAAATACAGTTTACAAAGAGAGACAACCTCAGAGAGGGTTACTGAACTGACAGTAACTAGATTCCAGCTTGTGCATTTTCAGCAAGCTCACTGCAAGGAGCTTTAACCTGTCTCCAAAAGGCAATAAATGAAAGGTTCGGCTGTTAAAATTGGAGGTCAGTTACATACTTAATGATGAAGCATATCTTTAAATCTATTTCTACTATTATTATCCTAGCAAAAAATTAATTAACCAGGTCAGGGAGGCTATGAAGGCTAATGTGGAATGTAATTATTCCTGATCTTTAGACATGTACTTCACATAAAGAGATAGCCCTTATTCAGCTCACCAGGTACCTGAATTGTCAGTAGTTAATCATGGATAAGAAGAGAGACTCATTGGTTCAGCCTCTTAAGTTTTAAGTATGATTCAAATGATTCCTATTCAAGGACAGTTTAAATAGTTGTAATTTTTATGTTACTATTCTTTTGTTTGTTTACTATCACCGTAATCACTCTTTTTGACTGAAAGAGAAAATGCAAGAATGTTAATATGAAACTACAACAGCATGAATGTATAGATTAAAATTAGAAAAAAAAAATTACTATTAGAAATAATTTCTAGTGGTTGAATTAACACAGAATACTTATGAGACCAGAGGAAGCCAGTTTTCCTATGCGATGGAAATCATACTGATTCAAACAGAAAACTAAATGACCTGCAGTGGCATCGAGCATAGTGCAGGAGAATACGGTGAAGGGAAATAGACAAAGGCAGTTTGAGTCGGCTGTCACTGTAATACCTATTGCAAGTTCTTGCAGAAAAGCTCAACAACCAGTGTCCCTTTTAAAGATTTCAGCCACAGTTTAGGGCTCCTCCTAACAAAGCCTGCCCACCAGAGAAGGGACCTCAAAGTTTCATCTCTTAAATCCACACAACACTCTGCCCCTGGAGAGAAATCCCAGAACAACATGCTCCAAGCACCAGTGGGACCCAAACCCTTCCTCAGCTGGACATGGTGGGGTCAGAAGCAGTCCCCAAGCCTCTTTCAGAAAGGACTGAATCCTGGCAACAAGGCACTGATTTCAGGGATTTCAGGGCCTCAAGTGGTTCTCGAGGTTCAAATGCTCTAGAGCTGCAAGCCTTCCCTTCTTCCAATGTAGTCTTCATGATGTACAACCAAATTCCTCCTTTAGCAGCTGTTTCCCTTATCCCTAGAGGTTTTTGCTTTCACAGCACAGGCTAAGAGGTGTCCTTGAAATCATCTCATTTTGTCCCTTGTACTTTAAGAATGAATACTTTTTATTAAACAAAAAATAAATTTATTTTAAAAAATCTAAATCAACCTGGAGAGTGATCTGTGACCTCTTACTTGCCCTACAGTATTTTCTCAACTTTAATTCCACTAAAAGCAATGATTTTTCTGCACAGCTTTGCAGAACGAAGAACTTAATTTGGCATACTAGATTTCATCTTATCTCTATGGTCTTCTCTGGAGAAAATTTATGAACATCAGGAACATTTGATCTGAAAAGTAATAATACACTGCATTTATTTGAAAATTTTCATCTAAGATTCTCAAAACATGATGTTTGAATTGAGGGACAGGAAACAGTTTGCCAGATTTCAGATAATCAGAGACAGAACTGAGAACAACTCCAGATTCCCACTCCCTTTAACAAACAAACAAAACTGCTTTCCCCAGCATGCACGCCCTGAAAGTAACATTAGTGTCACTCAGAAAACATGAGACAATTATGCAGAACAATTAATGACCTCAGTACTCTTGAAATACCTATGTTGTTTTTGTATGCTAAGCCCAGCTAATGTCTTCTTTGCTCAGAGATTGTTGACAAAGCTTTGTATGGAGTAAGGTGCTCCAGTAAATGGTCTTAAAAACAAAACAAAACAAAATTAAATAAGGTGTTAAAATGATTAAATAAACAAATAATATACAACACAGTGTAAATAATAAATACCAAATAGTGAAAATTCTCAGTAAATTAACCCAGTGGGTGTCCAGGGAAAGGTGTGTTTAATTTAATATGGATTATTTCAACTTTCATATGTTGTTGACAGAAATCTTGTAAGCCCCACCTAAGGTAATTTCTAATTGGTTAAATGGTTAAATAACCTGGGCACACTTATTCACAGAAATTATTGTTTCAGAATTAACACTGTATCTCAGAAGATGACAGTGGTACACTGTGTGTCTCCTGATGAAAACATTGCATCAGCAATGCCCCACTCCTGCATCCTGGAGAACATACTGTACTTATTTCAAGTAGCTGTGCCATGAATAGGCCCATGCCCAGATGGCACCTGTGCTACTTATATTTTGTAATCTTTTCAAAAGGGGAGTGTCAGGGAAGAGTATTATTGTTTTGTCATGAACAGAAAGTATAGATAAGAATCCACACCATTTTATGTAAGTAATTGCTGTTTCCTGAAAACGGTTGCTCAAGAGTGTTTTTAAACAAATGCACCTTCTGAATAAAATCAAGCAAGCTGTTGGGGACACAGTTCCGAATCCTACCAAGCCCAAAAACTAAACTGAGAATGTAAACATTTATTAGAAAATTGTTTTTTCCCCTCAAGCCACAGAGAGCGTGATTCACCTCACCTCACTTCAGATCTCTACACTATAGGCATCGGCATGCATATCATTTATAGCTAATGGAGAGAAACAGCCATTTTAGGGAACAATTAATCTGACATATTTTAAATGTCTACTTTAGGACAAGATGAATTGCATCCTAAAACTATTCACTCTGCTTGTCTCTGTTCACTATAAAAACAATCTGGATAATTAATCGAGACAGAGTCTACACTGCAGTTATCTGCATTTGATATGATGAATTCCACCCAGAGTCACCAGTGTGACTTCAGTATCAGGACTGAGGTTTCCTGGGAAGTTGCTGGAAGGGGACCTGGGAGAATGAACACAGTGCTGCATCTCCCACCTGCCTCCTGGTTTACCTCCATCCCTCCCACCTATAGCCCTTAAAGAGCTACAGGTCTCAACAAACTGCAACACTTGTAATGGGTTCAATAGCAACAAACCTATTATGAACTGTAGAGGCAACTTAGCAACTGACTTCCCTCCCAAGCAACTCCTGGCCAGCAAACCTGCCATGGAATTAAGAAAGAACAAATAAAACAAAGAAGAACCACTTGGCTCACAAGCAAATGGACTATGTAAGCTGGTGTTTAGCCTAGGAAACAATCTCCTAACAAACTCTTTTTTTAGTAATCTCCTCGTAAGATGAATGTGTTTGAAATGGCATCTGCCCAACATGCCTAGTGCTTCATGCTGGAGCCTACAATGCTCCTTGAGCAATGAGATGCCCACTACTACCAAGCTGGGAGAGGAAACATTCCTCACTGTCCCAAATGCATTGATGAGATTCATGTAAATATAAAGATAAATGAAGAGTCCAAACTACTGAGGAGCTATGGAATAAGAGTAGCTTATATCAGCAAGAATTTTTAAACAAATCTATGGAAGGTTCACCAAGAAATAATTTAGATCACATGAACAGAACAATCATTAAAACAGTTCTTTGTATATACATCTAGGAAAGAATGGGAAAGAAAATTTGTGGAGGGTTCAGCACTATGTAAGAGGAAAATTGGGAGTGAAAAAGAAAATGAACATGCAACTCATTCTAAAATGAACCTGTAACTTATTCTAAAACTGCATTTCTTCCACTGGAGTCAGTGGAAGGGTAAAGCTACTGGAAACTATTGAGTCAACTGAAATATAACGTACCTTTGAACTTTTTACTACAGAGTGGGATAGTTTCCAGTAAAATATACTCACATTCTCCAAATAGAAACAAAAGTTACCTGGTCATGATTCATCTTTCTGTGTCCCAATTTTTAAAGGAATTTTAAAAATTAGGAATTTCTCATGCAAACAACTGTTTTGCTTAGCAGACTCAGCTATGTTTCAGCCTTAGCTTTTATGCCAAGATTTTTTTTATATGATTCTTTGTTTTCTGAAGCCAGACTTGCAAATAACACTTAGAGAAGATGGTGTATTTTTTCCTTTCACTATTCTTACATCCCTTCCATCCTTTCTGTACACCTAATATAAAAACTCAGTCTTCCAATAGACAATGACAATATTTGCAAAAGCATTTAGAAGCATTCCTTTGGGATGAGGGAAGGCAAAACTTCAGTTTCATCATCTAGTAAAATGGAAATCAGATGATTAAGGAAAAAACCTGTTAGTCCAAGCCTATAAGAACCAATTTGCAGCACTATCATCTGTCAGACCAAAACAAAATATTTAAATCAAAGACCAGGCCCATGCTTTCAAACAAAGTGGGAAGCAGAGAGGTAGTACAGTCACGTATGTCACTCCCTACCCACATATATTTGAACAAAATTAAACCAGGTTCTGAGTACAAGTACAGATAATTGAATACCTCCAGAACACTCCCAGGTCCACGAGGGTACAGTTACTCCAAAGGTACATGGGACACATATCTGTGGGTCTTTGTACACGAGCAGACTGGTCCCAGGGACTTCATACTGTCTCAATGTCTATTATCCTATACTATAGCTGTTTGCTTTAGTCAATGAAATGGAAAACATTCTTCTAACCTTCTTATAAAGCCAACTTTGCCTTTGTAGACTAAGGAATTCTATAAACAATAATTGAGCCTCTGCTTTTACTTCACACAGTACAAGTCAAACTGATTGCAGATTTCAGAATTAAATTACAAGATTTAAGAAATAATTCATAACTTTCAGAAGACAACTCTGCTTATTACAGAAAAGCTCTTTCTATTAAGATGTTTGACAATTTTCTAAGACACAAAGCCCCTCCATAAAGAGCATCTTTACTAAGGCTTGTTAGTAAAGCATGTGGCTGCTTTATTTTAGATCCTTCCTTCTCCATAGACGGAATTTAAGTATAATCAGAAGAGAGCAATAAAACACACTGACCTGAATTTGCTGCTGCAGTAGATTGATTTTGTGCTGCTGTTGCAGAAGTTGCTGCTGTTGTCTTGCAATCTATTAGAAATAAAATTTCCATTAAATTAAAACAGTAATATTGAAACTTCATTATTATTGAGTGAAAAACATCTCATTAGTTATTCTTTATTATATTTTTAAGCATCATTTTTTTTAATTATGCCTATTTTAAAGGTATCTGTATATGTAAGGTAAACATTTTAAATTTAAATCCAACATAAATTCTAGTTAGCCAGTAAGAAATATGTATTTTAAGCACCTAGGCCTCAACTCTGCAAAGCATAGAAACATGGGTTTAGCTGTGTGCATGTGAATAATCTCATCACTATTCAACAAAGCATTTAAGCCTGTGGTGATCTTTGACTATGATGCATTACTGTTAGCTACAATGGGAATGAAACACACGCTTAAAATTAAGTGCTTTGCTGAATGGGGATGGGATTACTCAGGTGCTTAAGGTTAAACACACATTTTCCTGCTTTGCTGAACTGGAGCCTTAGCTAGTATTTATAGATGTTTCACTATTCAGCACAAGCTCCTAGGGCAAGCTTCTCTAACTTCATTCACAATGAGCAGCATATTACTTCTCTTGTAAATCTTGAAGTCTTCCTTATAACTACTCAAGGAACTAGGGTCTCATTCTGTGTAAAAGCAGTACCTGATGCTCAGTAACTCATCCTCAACACAACCCTGTGATATATGTAGATATTCTTAGCCTTATTTGGTAGATTCAATAAGGGATCTGGAGGATAAAGGTTCTCTCTATCCCTTCTCTAACACAGATGGAGAGAAACAAGTGTTCAGGGCAGAGAACACTAAGAGACAGAGAGAATCTGCTACAGACATCCCACGCCCACCCCCCATACCCACAAACCGTCCAAAATCAGCATGCAAGAGCAGAAGGGAAATAGGAGCCTGCCCTCAGACCGCAGGGCTGCTCCCTGCAGTGGGTAACATGGACTGCAGCTACGGGGAGAAGCTGCAGGGAGCTGGGGGAAGAACTGGGCTTCTGCTTTAGAAGGGTAACAGTGCAGCAGACTGCAACAAGGACAAGATTTGTGTTTCCTGGAAACCCCAGCCTCAGCACTTCTGCTACCTTCATTTCTTAAGTATAATTTCCCCTCCTATAAATATTTATCTAGAGCAGAGGAACAGCATAAAACAGCAAGAAGTTGGTGACAAAGGTGGTTTGGTCACTCAAATTGACTGTTTCTGTTTTGGCAAAGACGCTCCTGGTCTCCTTCCCCACCATCTTCCGAGCACGCTTACTCTGTTATAAACAGAGAAAGCTAAGTAAAATGTTTTTATGATAAAAAAATTACAGAAATGTAGCAAGGTTGATTTCGAAATAAACAATCACATAGTTTTAGTGCAAACTGTTCCGATTAACTCGTAAGGAATCTGCAGTTACATATTAACAGCTTGTAATTGTGCACACACAGAGATGAAGTCTGTCATTTCTTTAATCTCTCACTTTGTCACTTGCAAATAACTCTGTAATTTTTTTCACTGCTACAGTTAAAATTCACTTTTGTATGGGAGACCAACACAAAACTCATACATATTTTAAGTCTTGCATATGGCCTCAGAGAGATAAATTGAGGTCTACATGGTCTGGGACAGGATGAAGGCAAAGTGCCGCACAGAAAAGGAATCAAACAACTGTCATAGCCCACTACACTGAGGCTTGTAACAGAGATCAAGCTCCCTTTATGAGCCTGGTGTTCCAATCTTTCTGAACAAATCTTCCAGTAAAGTCAATAAAAGTATGGTGAATGAAGATCGAAGAAGCAGGCCCTAGTCTGCTGGTGACAAAGGGAGTTCTAACAGAGCTAGCAGCCTGTGTGCCCAGGTAGTCGAGGGGCAGCTCCTAGGACCTCAGATCATGTGTTGTCATGTCAGCGGTCAGCAGCAGTGTCTGTGCTTGGAAAAGCAACTCTAATGGTAACTGTGATACAGAGAATATTTTAAAACCTGTATGGGTGCTGGAGTTACTATTTCTAATGAGTAACACACCAACTGTGATATTCCATCTTAGAAGTGCAGTGCTTGTCACTAAAGATAAGCTCTGTTGGGTTTATTGTCCCAGCACATTGTCCCTGCTGCCAAAATCTCAGTGAAGGTAACAGAAAGATTATCATGATATTCAACCTCAGAAAGAAATTATTTGTAATTTCACACTGAAACACCACATGGTCCTGCACCATGGGTCATTCTTCATGAGTGCTGTATCTCTTTTCACAGATACACAGTATCCCATGCCCAGAATCGTTTGGAGCTCCTAGTGACCTGGCTGCTACTTAACCCGGTAAGCTATAGCCAAGGCAAGGGATAAGATCTTTGTTTACATGTGCAAAGGCACTGTGTTCTGCTGGAGTTCAGACTGTCTGTGAACAGCTTTTTGTACCTGTATGTACAACACAGTACCATCTGAACAGGCATTTCCTGATGAAAACCAGAAATATACCATGAAGCCTCCATTGTCAATGGTTCCTCTCAGATGGAGCAGTACTGTGATATAAAATGTATCCAATACCCCGCAATTACCATAGCATAGCCTTGATGTATAGGCTTGACACAGAAAAGTAGGGTACACAAGCACCATGTGGCTCAAATTCTGAATTTTATTTGCCTATCGGTTGAGCTACATGCTCGCTTCATTGAGCATGACAACCTAGTTTTAAGTGTCATTTAATTTTCATTTTGAAATATAATTACAAAGTGTTCACTGTAAGATATCACTCGTCTGCAAATGTGTCAAGATTAATTTGTGCTAGCTTATTCACAAGTGTCAATAGTTAATTACTGTGTCATCTCTGGATGGCTAAATGACATTCTAACTTCTGATTTTTTTACAGTGTTCCTTTATGTTATTTTCCATTAGGGGATGAGTCCATATTCCTACATGTGGGCAAATACTCAAGCACATAAAATACCAGACGTCACAACTCATTAAAATCAACAGAGCATATATTGCTGTATATATCCTATAAAATACATTTAACTGAAAAGATAATTCTAGTAATAATGTCAGATTCCTAAAAACCACACATTAATTTGGATCTGTCTGATCTAATGACTAGGGGACTGGTATATGGGATCACTGTTGTTACACTTTTGTACAATAAGAAAAGGACAGCTCTTTGGACAACTGCATCTTTTTTAAAAAAAAAAAAAAAAAAAAAAACAACAAAAAAAAATAAAAAAACAACCACATAACACTAACAAATAAATCAGACCTTCCTTATAGAAGATATTTGAAGGTTTGAGGATGCTTAAGGTTTTTTGTTCAATTATTTTTTTGTCAAAAATAGAAACAGTTAAATAATGGTTATAGTCTGGCTTACTTGTAACTCCCCAAATTCCATCTCAGTGCAAGAAAAAAGAACTGTGAAATCTATCAAATGCCATTTATTCCAGGAAAAAAAATTATTTGAAAGTCCAGACTCACTGTTTTTCTCAGGGTACTATGATATTTCATCTATCTGGAAAAAGATGTAATTTCTGAAGATATTTAAGGTCTTTCAACAAAAAAGATGAAACGAAACACCAAGCAGAAGTGTTTATGATAAGCATTCTGCATGAAACCTTTTCGCAGGTTTGTTTCTCGGAGCCTCACCTGTTCTTGCTGTTGGCGAGCAAGGTCCATTTGTTGCCGTTGTTTTTCAATTTGTGAGGCTGCCAGCTTTTTCTGTTCATCATGGGCAGCCAGGAGCTGCTCCCGTAAGCTGATCAGCTGGGTGATCATAGTAGAGAGCTGTCGCTCTTTTTCTGCCAGGCTTTCTGGTGTACCTAAATGTGCAGGAAAGATGTACTGTAAATATGAGATAGACAATAGTTACCAAGAAATATTCACAAAAAAAATGGCTGAATCACCAACATGCTTATTTCAAGTAGCAGCTTGAATATATATTTTACTAACAAATCCCAAAAGAATCTAGCACATAACTTTGCTGTGCTCTAAGCAGTGGAGAATATAACAAAAATTGAAGCAGAAGAGATATAGAGTATTTCTTTTTTTATGACAGGAGTAATTAACAATGCACTACGTACAAATCCCTATATCTTTTCCATCTAAATCTGCCCAGTGTGACAAATACATTCACAGTTCATTAGACATGATTTTCCTTCACTTTATATATTTTGTTGTTTTTTTCCCCAAGTATGTAAAAATGCTAGAAAAAAAAATAAAATATGTCATTCAGTGGAAGAAGCAGCTTAATAGTTTACTGATAATTTCTCAAAAATACTCATATATCTGGTAGGTCATTTGGGTAAATGTAAGCTTTGGTTATGGAATGCGTATTAAAAATGAGCTCTATTTGTCCCTAAGAGAAATGGCTAACCTAAGAAAATGGCTTAAAAATTTTCATTTAACTTTCAAAGTTTACTCTACAGAGAGCACTTAATTAATATGAAACTACGGTACATTTATTCTTTGCACTAATGATGCTTAATGGTCTGTTTATGGGTAAATTGCACGGGTCTCCTAAGAAGAGAGTACGGGGTCCTTTTTCAAATCAATCCAAAAATATCCCATCTTATGTATGAACATATTACTCTGTCACAAACAGCAATGTCAGCTCCTGTATTCGAGCCATACACTGCATTTCCTTGTATGAGCATCTCAGACCCACAGCTCCATAAGAGGTAATATAATTACAGTGAGGTAGCAGTTCAGGAATATTGGAAGAGCATCTGAAAGAGGCTTACAGTTGGAAGTGGGATAAATGAAGCAATTTTATGTTGTACAGGAGAACTGAAAGTTAGAGAAGAAACGAACCAAATCAAGAACTAGTCAGGTCTGTAATGTGCCACAGTGATAGGAGAAGTGGCACAGAAGAGAGGGTATTCGTGTACTTCCTTTCCTCCATTCACAATAAAGGATTGTGATAAAGAAGTCACAGGACTTTTGAAGAGGAAGAAAATGTGTGAGGAACAGGACCTGGGAGGGAATGGAGAAATTGTAACCAAAATTATGACTCCACCTTCTTCCCAGGAGTAAGATGGGTATCTTCTAGGGAAGAGAAGAAAGAGGTTGACAGGTTTTGTAAGGAGAGGGAAGACAAACAGACTCCTGCCAAGCAGCTGACAAACACAAGATGCTCTACTACTTGCACTGTGCTATGTTGGGACCAATATTATTCTTAAACAGAATTTAATTTGCAAAAGCAGCATACAAGAAAACCTCTGTCTAGAATTGTTTTCTATGGAAGGAGAATCTGCATGGCGTAAGTCATTCACTCTACACAAAGCAAACTCCCAGAAACAAGGAGTAACTTTTTTTCCTGTACATTTCTTTCTACAAGTGCATTTAACAACATAAAGTACTGGAAATATTCTATTTCTTAGACACTATAACTATCTTTAGTTTTAAAAGAGTCTGCAACAAACTGACACTTCCGTACCCTGTGATGCCAACTCTTAATTCAGTAGACATGTGACATAGGCCTCCAGACAGGAAAAATTAGTAACTTTTGTTGTAGCAGAAGTTTTAGAAATGGTTAGCAATTTTCTTAGTCACAAGAAGTATGATGGATGCATGAAGTTAAAGCTAAAGGACATGCTACTATTCAGACCAACTCATTGCAAAACCTTAGCATGATATGCACGATTGAAGCAATAAAATAGTTCTGTACAAAAAACTGTTTCAAAATAACAACAGATAAAGATTTTTGAAAGTAAGCTAAGGCAGGTACACGTCCAGGAAAATGTCTGCACTGAAGGTACTGCCTTTCCAGGATCTGTTAGCTTGTACTGTGTTCCACACTGTTGACATCAGTTCAATCATCTGTAACTTCAGTATAGACTTACCTTAAGCCTCTTAAACTGTATTATTCAGTCTTGAAGATTTTGCATGGATCAAAGGTTTCTTGGGCACTTTTGAATATGTTATTGTATACTGAAACTAATTTTCACTGATAAAAGACTGTTCTGCCAAAGAAAAACTCTCTTGCTCATCATGACTAGAAGAGATCAACCACCCCACCTATTTTAGAAAGCCAAAGGAAAGCAACTTGCTGTCTCAAACGATGCTTACTGCTATCCACTACCACCTGGGAAACCACAGCTTGAGACTTTCACATCTGTCAGGCAGCTTTGGCATTGTAATACACGCCCCTGACTTTACAGTCATAAAATATTTTACACACCCAAAGCAGATATTAATCTCCTGCTCCATTTCCATATTATTCTGCATACTCTGTACTTGCTTCATAATATGAATAGAAAGCTACCACAAAGAGTGCTTGCTAAGCCTACAAAATTTGACTGTTTTGTTATGATTAGTTAGAACCATTTGATATAGTTGCAGCAAATTTATAAGGTCACTTTTTTTTTATTTTTTTTTTTTCTCTGAATTTTATACCATAGCAGCCAGAAGTAACTGTTCTTATTCAGGAATTCATTGTAACTTCTTTTCTTTCCTGCCCTCCTCCACCCCCCCCCACCCCAGCCCAAGAAACACATCTGAAATGAATGACCCCATTGAAAGTACTCTACTCTTTAATTTGCACTGTGCTATGTAATCCAACAACAGAATAGAACTGATGACCACAAAATGCACACTGTGCTCCTGGAAAATAACAAGACCTCCATGAAGCTGCAAGACACCTAACTGAATGCTGCTCAAGTCAAGAAAAAGCGTAAGATGCAGAATGTTGTTGTCTGAAAAGTGTAGGGGGGAGGTATAATTTAATTTCAGAGTGGAAAACCCCAACCATTATTTTACAGTTTAAATACCAATAAAAAACAACTTGCTCAGAATGCAGACCAGATTGAGCTGATCTGGCTGGGGCAAGAGGGGTCATCAGTAGCTGTGTGCCATCATCATCTGTTTTGCATCCACTTACTGCAGCAAGCAATGAGATTCCTAAACTCATTACCAGTAAATAAACTTCTGCTGCTGACTAAAAATATCTATAAATAAAATAAAAATATAGCTATCTGTAAAATGTATTTGCCATAAAAACAGATAAAACAAAAAGCTTAGTAAAAAATACACAGTAAATATGCCAGCTTCCATAAAATATTATATATCACAGCTCTCTGTTCTAATCCTATTCTCTTGCTCCAAAGGCAGCACTGCATTTTTTTTTCCATGGGGTCTTCCTTATCCCCAAAACACATCTGTCTTGAGTTTCTCTCAGATTTGTCAGGTGGATCAGTGCTCCCCAGGGCCTGCTCCATCTGAAGTATTTTAATTTGACTAAACACCTGATTTATTTTATCTCTCCGATGAGAAAGGCAGTTTGTCTTAATAGAGCCTGTCAGCCTACAGTCCCATTCACAGCAATTTACAGGCAGCCAGGGATGCTGGAAAAGAAGAGTGCTGTGATTCTGTATTTTATCCTCCTCCAGAAAGCACCTAAAAGCAGCTATTCACTGCTACTGCATGTGGCATTTTAGAACTGAATTAGCTTTTTATTCAAGTAACTACACTTGTTGTCAATAGCTTATCTGTAAAATTGCTACATTCACTACTGATTTTATTAACCTTTGGCTCTATCACAAAATGGTCTTCAGTTAGGAAAGACCTTTAAAATTGACACATTTTTCTTAGGGGCCTTTATTTCAGTGACTTCAGATATACTGAATTTGATCCATTGACTCCCTCTACCAGCAGTATTTGAAATTTTGAGTGTTGGTGAGAAGTCAATAGTATTTAAGGACTTCTTTTTAAAATGAAAATATAACAGTCTCAACAAAAGTTCAGGAAAAAAAATTACTATTTTTGATAGTCCCTTGGTTATATGTTCTTGCCTTTGTGACTATAATTGTAAACTGAAAAATAATTTGTTCGTATAAATATTTTAATTTTTCCTTGTGTGCTTGTTGTTTTACCTTTTATCTTTGTATGGATTTGAACACAAATTGAGATGAAATTGTCAGACTGAACAGAAATAGGGCATCAAAGAGAACTTTGGAGAAATTCTGGTCATAGGTCAATCTAACCAGGAATGAGAAAATAAAAGTAGCTATAAATCTGCTGAAAAAGATAGAAGAGTTCAACTTGTGGCCTAAAATTACATTTAGAAAGAATTTTGCTTGTGGCAAAAAATTGTCTTTTAAAACTGATCACAATACTACATGATTTCTGGTACACAAAATAATACAAAGATCATTGTATATCTTAGGATGTATTTCATAAAAATTATAAACATCATCTTCCATTTTATCTACCTAAGCATTACCAAAAAAGAGTAAAAATATAGTATCCTGTAAGTATTAATACATAATATAACTATAGTTCCTATATCAATCTCTGGTTTACCACCTTACAACACTTCTATTACCTCCTACATATTCGGTCTATATACAGATGTAGCTGCATGTCAACAAAGGAAGCTTTTCAACGTTAAATTGGGAACTGTCCTTGTGGCAAGTTGTCATGAGATACAGGCAGAATAATAACTGCTGGTAAGGGGAAAAAATAAGTAGGAATAACAAAAAATAGACTTCTAGACTTACATAGTAAAATTTAAACTAATCTCTGACACTCAGCAAAAGAAAACAAGATAAAACCACGTATTCTATCAAGTGAATAAAAGATAAAATACTGGAGTCATAAATAAGCCAAAAAATTTACAGGCGTGATCCAAAGCTTGCTGAAGTAGAATTCTTAGCTGTGACATGAAATTACTGTGGGTTCTTGAATGTGCTTGCCTTAGTTTCCCAACATGTACACAAAGTAAAACACTACCAATCAGAGGCTTTTATGCCTGGTTAGTTAATGCTTCTGAAGTGCTTTGAGATCTTTGCATGGAATCTCTACACAGCTGCAAAGTATTATT